ATTCATACATTTATAAATGTCATAGTTTATAAACTAAATATTTAACTTACAAATTAAATATTTAGCTAACAAGCTTAATATTTAATTTAAATATTTAGCTAGCAACCTAAATATTTAGCTTGCAAGTTAAATATTTAGCTAACCATCTAAATATTTAACCTAAATATTTAGCTTGTTAACTAAATATTTAATTTGTAAGTTAAATATTTAGTTTATAAACTATGACATTTATAAATGTATGAATCATGTTGTAAGAAATACGTGTTTAATATCGACTGAAATCAGGTGAAAACACAAGTGTTAAATAAAAGGATCTGTTATAGGAAATAAATGTCATACAACACCAGAATTCTGGAGTGGGGGTTTATTATGCCTCAAGCTGACAAGTCAAAACCACACACTGAATTAAAAACAGGAAGTCCCTCTTATAAATACAGTCCAGAAATCTTCAATGCCTGAGTTCGCCCCCTGCTGGCCTACGGCTGAATCACAGGCATTCAGACAAACAAACCTCAATCTGATGGTTTAAAAACGGTTCACTTATGTGTTGTTATGATTCAGACATGTATCTACCCTATTTAATTAACACATAATATAACAAACATTATAAAGGTATAATAAAACAAGGAAACCCTAATACTCTGGTGTTGTTTATGATCAGTACTGAGCTATAATAACTATAAATTTCTTCAATATGGTGAAAAACTGACTTTGAAAAATAAATCTGTTCTTTTTTTCTTATAAAAGTCTAAATAAAACACAAATATTTGTGGTAATTTCTGACTGTGTAACTGTACAAACGACAGCCCACCTTTATGGGTTCTCCTCTCAGGACGGTCCAGAACCCGTCTTCTCAGAGGAGGACGTCACACGGAGGAGGCCTCATCCCAGCTTCAGGAAGCACAAAGATCTGGAAAAGCTTGTGCTGAAGCTGGCAAAAGAGGTGAGTGGTGTTAAAACACATCCCAACAGAAGTCCTGGAAGCTGGAAAAGCATAAATAAACGTGATTTTTCTATTTTTGTTCAGAAAAAATCCAAGCTGACGTGTTACGTTGTCGCAGCGGGGCTTCAGTACGGAATGGAGGAGGACGTGTTTCACTACTTTTTTAAGGTAAACCTTCAAATAATGAGAGAAAAATGCTTTGTAACATTTAATCATCTTCTTCTGGAATATTTGCAGGTATCGTGGTTAATGCAGCTTCCAAAGGTTCCTATATTTGGAAACGGCACCAATTACATTCCCACGATTCACGTTTACGACCTGGGAGGGTAAATTTAATCACCGTCAGGGTTTCCTCCTGAAAAACACACAGATCAGAGATAAAACAGCTGCATTTTCCCCACAGAGTCGTTCAAAATGTGCTGCAGCTGAGACCGAAGACAAACTACATCCTGGCTGTGGATCATTCCAGGAACACTTTAGGAGATATCGTGAAGGTGATGATTTGGACAAAACATTTAAAATCAGCTCAGGGTTCATGCAGGGTTTTAAAAAAATCTAAATTTTAGGCCTAAAAAAGTCTTAAAACTCCCAGATTTTCATCCAAGGTCTTAATTTTTTTACTTTTGATCATTTCCATAAGTGTTGTCTGCATCAATAAACAGAGTAAAAAT